TGGCCTGGGCAGAGCTGGGGAGAGAGAGCCGGAGCAGGAGAGACGGCCTGGGCAGAGCTGGGGAGAGAGAGCCGGAGCAGGAGAGGAGCAGGAGAGACGGCCTGGGCAGAGACGGAAGAGGGGAAAGTGAGCCGGGGAGAGAGGTACGGAGATTGGGGGGGAAGACAGAGCCCCGAGCCCGGGGGTGGGGGCTAAGGAAGGTTATTACCATTACTATTGCTACTGTTGAGGTTGAACAAAGAGGCCCAGATCTGAGGCGGCAAATGAGAACCGAATGCAGCCTGCTTTGGCCCTTCGCTTGCTGCTCCACTGCCTTCCTACCTTGACCACCTTCTCCAGGCTCTTCTCTGAGCAGCCTCCTCAGGCTGAGCAGTGGCAGCTCACGTGCCTCTCCTGAGAAAGGCTAAAGTGCCCCAACCCTTGTGCTCCCTCAGGGAGCTCATCTCCATTCACAGAAATGTCTTTGGGTCTGTATTTCAGGGCCTCTTCTGGGGAGCAAAGCAGGTCGGTCTGCTCAGCACTCCATCCCCAGCACAGGCCTGGCACGTGGCCGGCACAGCACTCAGAAACGAATGGATGGATGGATGGATGGATGGATGGATGGATGGATGGATGGATGGAGTGAATGAATAAAGCGCAGAGCCCAGCAGAGATTTGACCCAGAGCTCTCCAGCCCCAAAGAGAAAGGTAGGTGGAGCCAAGTTTCCAACCTGGAATCTGGACTCTGGGTTCTACCTGACTCCTTCCACTCGCCCTAGCGCGGACCCTGACTCCATGACCCCACACGCCCAGCACCTACCCCACCCAGCCCTTTCCCCAGGGGGAGGAAGGCAGGTGTGGTAGGGGCAGCCCCTCACCAGTAGATCACTCGAATCATGATCTTGTCCATGTGGAAGTTCTTGCTGGTGGAAGCGAGTGTGTCGGTAGAAATCTGTAAGGCGACGGCCGATGGGGCGGTCTCCAGCATGGGCGCCGGGATAGGTCCAGGAGCGGGGGAATCCGTCAACTTGGTGGCCGATGGGTCTGCCCTTAAGGTGGGCCCCAGTATATTAGTGGCTGATGGAGTGAGCGCGGGAAGGGGCTCTCGGATGGACACGGCTAAGCTGGTGACCGATGGGTCGTGCCTCAAACTCGGCCCTGGCGCAGAATCCGTATCAGACGACAAAGTTGGCTCCGGAGCAGGTTCTGGAGGCGGATCCAAAAGTGGAGGCGGATCCAAAAGTAGGGCCAGATTCCGGAAGGATTCTGAGGCAGGGACCACGGCCGGCGCTCGGGCTAGAGTTGGGGCTGGAGCTCGGGCTGGAGCTCGGGCTGGGGCTGGAGCTGGGGCTGGAGCTCGGGCTGGAGCTGGGGCTGGAGCTGGGGCTGGAGCCGACACAGGAGCTGGGGCTAGAGCTGGGACTTGGGCTGGGGCTGGGGCTGGGACCCGGACCGGAGTTAGGGTCCGCATCCGAGCCAAGGTCCGGATCAGGTTGGGAGTTCGGACCACAGCCGGCGCCCGGACTGGAGTCGGGGCCCGGACTGGAGTCGGGGTCCGGACCGGGATCGTGGTCTGGGCCGGGGTCGAAGTCCGGGCCGGAGTCGAAGCCCGGACTGGGGCTGGGGCCCGCGCCTGGTTATTCATGGGGACCAGGTGGGACCCGAGCAACCCCGGCTGGGAGTCTCTCCCAGCCCGCCGTCCACGGGCGGGGAGAGCATCTCCCTCACCGGGGTTCTAAAATGGGAGGCGACCACAAGCGGGCACTGTTACACCGTGTTCCATTGCGGCGGAGGTTCTGCAGCCCTGAGACCCGGACGGGGCGTGACGTCGAGATCTCGCTGAATAATCCCCACCCTCTAGCGCCCACCACCAGTGCTAGAAACAGATTGCCGCAGTGCTTTTTGCAGCTGTCGTTGACTCTCAGTGTACATTTATGCATTCAGTATATATTTATTGAGTGACTACTGTATGCATGGTTCTGTACTGGGTGATTCTGGGGACAGAGAAGTGATCAAGAAAGCCCAGGTTCCTGCCCTCACCAGGCTCCTTGTCCAGTGGGGGAAGCATGCCCATTTCCAAAGAGTGACAACCTAGAGTGGTCAGCGTCCGGATGTGGGAGCACAGGGAACTGTGGGATCCCAGAAGAGGTGCGAGTAGTCTGCAGCAATCAGAGAGGGCTTCCTAGAAAAGGGAAAAACTGAGAGATCTGGAGAATAATAACACACCAACCACAATTTACACTCATATAGTACTAAGTGCTATATACACTTGCCCACAGCTAGTAAGCGGCAGAGCCAAGACTCAGACTCAATCTGCCAGGCTCCAGGGCCCCGGGGCTCAATCACTCTGAGAAGGCCTCTCGAACTGTGAGCTCCTCCCGGGTGGGCACTTGTCTGATTCACTGCTGTATCCCCAGCTCCTAGAACAAGGCCCGGCACACAGCAGGTGCTCAATAAATGTTTGAGGAATTAATGAAAGAGACAAGGAATAGGAGTTAAGTACGTAAAGGGGCAGTTAGCTGGAGGCTAACTCCAGAATTAGAGAAGATTCCCCCTCTTTGTTAGAGAGAAAAAAGCCTGGCTTGTTCAAGGAGCTGGCCGTGTCCAGGCAGGGCTGGAGCCCAGACAATGAGCTGAGCAGACATGGACCTGGAGTGAGGGCAGTGGCCACTCACCAAGGGCCTTCTTAACCGTGTAGGGACACTTGGACTCCATCCCGAAGCCACAGAAGGCATGGGAGGGTTTCTTAACTAACATACTGTGCAATAAAGGATTAACCTTGCCCAAAGAGAGATCTGGCCTTTGCCCTTGGCTCCTGGAAGGTGATCTCTGAGTGCTTGGAATGTCCTTCCAGAAGAGTGGCTTTGTTTATGCAGCAGTGTTGGGCCTCACCAGATAGTCTATGCTAACAATGTGATTTATGGTGGGGGCCATGGGTCACATGTCAGCTCAGTCTTGGGCGGGGCTAGAGACTAAGGCCAGCCATGTGGGCAGTCAACCAAATCTACTTGACTGAGCTCCAGTAAAATCTCTAGATTCCATGTCACAGGTGGGGTTCCCTGATCAGCAACACTTCATGCACACCACCATACATCGCTGCTGGGAGAAGTCGCGACTGTCCACAACTCCACCGGAAGAGGACACCCAGAAGCTCATGCTGGGGACTCGCCTGGACCCTGCCCTTTCCTCCTCTTCTCTTGGCTGATTTTAATCCATATCCTACCCTTATAATAAACCATGACCGTGAGCAGAACAGCTTTTAGTGAGTTCTGTGAGTCCTTCTAGGGAATAATCAAGCCTGAAGGTGGTCTTGGAGGCCCCTGAACTTCACACACACACACACACACACACACACACACACACACACACACACACAATCTTTTTATTTAAATATGTGTTTATATAATTATATAATTTAAGTATATATAATCCCATAAATGTTAAAAAGCAACAAAAAGAAAATAAAAGAAAAACATATATATAATCTTTTTATTTTGAAATAGTTTAACATTCATAAGAAGTTGGACAAAAGGACAAAAAATTCCTGTCTAGCTTTCACCCAGCTTTCCCCAGTAAAACCATCTTATGTAACCACAGTGCATTGTCAACACCAGAATGTTGATGCTGGTACAAGACTATTAGGTCAGGATTCATGGAAGGATTTTGAGCAGAAGGGAGGCATTTCCCTCTGGACTTCCCAGCCCAAGAGCCTTCCTTCCTATGTTAAACTTTGGGCCCAAGTTTGAAAAACCATGTAAATCAGGAAAGACACCTGATTTGCTGCGTGATGCAAGGTAAGTCTCTACCCCACTGGGCTTCAATTTCCCCTCTGTGAGATGAGCTTTGAAATGGGCTTTCCTCTTATAGCATAATATTGAGAACTAACATTTATTGAGCATCTACTATATGCCAGGTTCTGTTATAAAACACTTTGCACCTATTAACTTATTTAATACAACTTTATAAAGCAGACTCTATTATTATCCATTTTACAGGTCAGAAAATTAAGGCACAGAGAGATGAAAGGACTTGTCCTAGTAAGTGGCAGAACCAAGATCTGATTTCTGTACATTTGTAGGCTTTTTATTTTTTCAGTGGTACAAGTAGTATTGAGTGTATAATTAACTTCCTTAGGACAGTCTCAAAATTAGAGAATATTCCCCCTCTCTGCCAGCTCTTATTTAATATGTGTTCCTTCTCATTTGGGAGGAAATTTCAGGACATGGAGAGACAGAGACAAGACACAGTGTTTGCCTTCTCCCTTTCCTCCCCATCCAAAACAGTGCTAAGCAGCATCGAGGACTTATCAGTACAGCTTCTTACCATTTGCCAAGAACTGGATTCTTCAATTGTCTAAATGAGATCCACAACTGTTGTTTTTTGTTTGGGGAGCTTTTTTGTTTTGTTTTTTGTTTTTTAAAAAAAGATGACCGGTAAGGGGATCTTAACCCTTGACTTGGTGTTGTCAGTGCCACGCTCTCCCAAGTGAGCTAACCGGCCATCCCTATATGGGATCCGAACCCGGGGCCTTGCTGTTATCAGCACCGCACTCTCCCGAGTGAGCCACAGGCCGGCCCTTGGAAACTTTTTTTTTTTTTTTTTTTTTTGTCTTTTTTCCGTGTCCGGCAACGGATCGCAACCCTCAGTGTTGCCCCCGTACCGGACCGGGGACCGGCGACGGGATCGCAAGCCTCGGCATTGCTCCCGTGCCTCGCTCAGCCAGTGAGCGGGAGCCGGTCTGTACGTGGGATCCGAACCCTCGGACGGGAGCGCTGCCGCGCTTCCCAAGCGGGCGCACTATCCAGTGCCACCAGGCCGGCCCGAAACTTTTTTGTTTCATTTTGTTTTCAGTAATTTTGGGGAGGATGAGAGGAGTGTCTGTATCTAACAGCCTGGATGGTTTTTTTGGGGGGAAGACATATCAGTTTTAAGAGAGCTTCCAAAGGGGGAAGACATATCAGTTTTAAGAGAGCTTCCAAAGGGGGAAGACATATCAGTTTTAAGAGAATGATTACAAAAATGGCCCCAATTCCCCTCCCGTCCCCACATCCATGCCCTTGGAAATGTGAGTCTGTACCTTGTACCATCAAAAGGTCCCGGTCCGGTACGGGGGCGACACTGAGGGTTGCGATCCGTTGCCGGTCACGAAAAAAAGACAAAAAGGAAAAAAAAGAAAAAAAAAAAAATAAGGTAGAGTCTCTTTCCCCACTCCTAGAATCTGGGCTGGCCAGTAGGCTGCAGGAGAAGTGATGATGTTCAGTGGGACATCGTCTCTTGGACCCCTGCCTTGGACATGAGAACAAGCCAGGGCCAGCCTGCTGGGGGAGGACAGGCCCATGGAACAGAGCCAAACAGCCAGCTCCCAGGCGACCCGTGAGCCTGCTATGCGCACATGTATCAGTATTTCATTCTTTTTCAAGATAAAATAATGTTCCCTTGTATGGACAGACCCCATTTTGCTTATCCATTTATTGATGAACCTTTGAGTTGTTTGCACATTTTGGCTACTCTGAACAATGCTATGAACATTTGCATGCATGTCTTTGTATGTATGTATTTTTTTCTCTTGGGTAGATACCTAGGAGTGAGATTGTTGGGTCATATGGTAACTGCTTAATTTTTTTAAGAAACTACCAAACTGTTTCCCAAAGTGGCTTTACCATTTTACATTCTCACCAGCAGTGTCTGAGGATTCCTGTTTTTCCACATCCTTGTCAATATTTGTTATTGTCTGTCATTTTGATTATAGCTGTTCCAGTGGGTATAAAATAGTATGCTAATTTATTTCTTGAAGAAACCAATCATTTACCCCATAGAGTGCCCAGTGTGGATTTTGTTCATCCCCATGGTGTTATATAACATGTTCTTCTGGCCCTTGAATGTCCTGTAAATTGGAATTAGGGTGAACCACAGCAAATTGCCAATATTCCCACTTTTGCCTGGGCAGATTTCGGTGCACCTCCCTGAGGAACCACAGAAGAAACGAGCCTGCTATTCTCTGGGCTACCCATGAGAAAGGCAAACTTGTTGCCTAGTGAGGTCAGAGAGGACCTTCCTGAGGTGTTCCAAAACAATAATATGTGCACATGGGGAAAAAAATTTTAAATGCAGCAAAGATATGCACAGTCAAAAGGCAGTCTCCTCTGGAATTCTTGTACACCGTGGCGGGAATGCGGACTGAGGAAGTCATCTGTCAATACTTGGTGAAACTGGTAGCTATGACCTGTGACCAGGCACTCTCTCTCCTGGGTACACATCTGTGGCAGACTCTATTCTGTTCAAAATATTCACTGTCACTCCCTGACGGAGGATTATATCACTACCCCACTGTCAGTTTTAGTCATTTGACTTGCTTTGGCCAATGAAATGTGAGCAAAAGTATTTTGTTTTGTTTCTTTCATGCTTAATGGCAAATGTTTTCAGATCCTTTCCATGCAGCACATAATAAGTTATCTATGTGCTTATTTCTTTTCCAAATCAACAGTTTGGGACAAACTTTGAGGATCCACACTTCCTCTATGGGGAGCCATCTGGCAACGTGTTCTGATAAGCATCTTATGTAGGGAGAAAAAGAACATTCTGGCTGACCTATAGCTTGGCCAAGTGGGAAGTGTACTGGCAGGAGAGTTAACGCCTGTCACTCGCCGCCATCAAGCTCATGGTAGGGCTGTATTGACTTATGCCAACAGATGCCTCTAGAAGCCACTCAGATTTGCCACAGCAGGGAGGAAGGCACGGGAGAAGAGGAGGAAGAGGAGAGACGTGATGTCCTATAAGGGGGTGTAGAGGCTGCTGGCTGGAAAAAACTGGGAACAAACAAAGTGAGGTCATTCTCCTTAGGATGCCATGCTGAGCAGAAAGCCTCTGAAAAATCCCCCAGTCACTAGAACATTCTTCTTCACAAATGACACCGTTTCCTCAGCTTTGCTCTTGACCTCGATAGGCATCTGGTTGCTCTTACGAATCTTCAGCTGCCCTCTGGCTTTCTTAATGTCCTTCTCCACTCACTTCCAGTCACCTTTCCAACCTTCCAGAATATGAAAGCTGTGCACCATCCAGTGACACCTCCAATTAACAGCTGGGTTGCCACACTATACTTTTCAGCTGAGGGTCCAGATTCCTGCCCAAACAGCTTGTGCCACCATGGCTGCTTTTTAGTGAATTCTGCAAGGTCCAGCAACTCAAAATTTCCCCCAATGTTTCCTTGACTGGACGCGGTCATTTCAGCGGGCTCATCTCATGAGGACACCCACAGAGGATCGGAGCAGTAGGACCCAGAGTGCTGTGTTGTTGCCACCAGCTGGCTTCCAGCACCTGAGCAAAAGTTTTCAGAGCCCACTATCCTCTTTCCCTCTTCCATAGTGCCTGGCAGTGCAACAGCTGTTCTGTTAGCCTCAGCTTGGGAAGGAAAGCAATGTGGAGCAGAGCCTGGTGGTCTGTAGGTGTGCCATGAATAAGAAAAGAACCTGTGTTTCTGTAAGCCACTCAGATTTGAAGGTCATTTGTTATTGCAGCAAAACCCAACTGCCACAGTCAGCTCAGGCTGCAGTAACAAATACCATAGACTGTGTGGCTTAAACAACAAACATTTATTTCTCACAGTTCTGGAGGTTGAAAGTCCAAGGTCAGGGTACCAACAAGGCCAGGTTCTGGTGACTGGTGACGACCCTCTTCCAGGTTGCACACAGACAACTTCTTGTGTCTTCACCTGGTGGAAAGAGAGCCAGCTAGCTCTCTGGCTTCTTCTTCTTTTTTTTTTTTTTTGTCTTTTGTCTTTTTTCCGTGTCCAGCAACGGATCGCAACCCTCAGTGTTGCCCCCGCACTGGACTGGGGACCGGCAACAGGACCGCAACCCTCGGTGTTGCTCCCGTGCCCCGCTCAGCCAGTGAGCGGGAACCGGTCCGTATGTGGGATCCGAACCCTCGGACGGGAGCGCCGCCGCGCTTCCCAAGCGGCGCACCATCCAGTGCGCCACCGGGCCGGCCCTCTGGCTTCTTCTTCTAAGGGCACTAATCCCAATCATGAAGGCTTCACCCTCTCCAAATATCACACTGGGAATTAGATTTCAACATACAAATGGGGGTGGGGGGGGCCATAAGCAATTAGTCCATAATGCCAGCCCATCCTGACTGATACAATTGCCTAGAGAATTCAATTTATACAATTGCTTTTTAAACCAGTTAACAGAAGAACAGAGAAGAAACATACATTTTACCCTCTTTTATAATTCCACAGGGCTGGCCAGTTAGTTCAGTTGGTTAGAGCACCACCTTGCAACACCAAGGTCAAAGGTTTGCATCCCCATACTGGCCAGCCGTCAAAAATGAAACAAACAAAACAAAAAAGTATAAAATCACATAATTACCTTTGTTGGAGCTTTGTCTTTCGGTGTAGATTTGAACTACTGTCTGAGGTTACTTGCTTCCAGCCTGAAGAACTAGCTTCCTTTAGTATTCCTTGTAAAGCAGGTCTGTAGGTTTGCCTGCCTAGTACAGGTACTGATTTCTGGTAACAAACCCTGATCTGAGGGGGCAAGGACATTCCTCCCCCATATATTCCATGTGATTTGAGCAAGCAAATGACCAAACCTGGCCAATCAGAGTCAGCCATACTACCTGGCAACTAGTTCAGGGATGATCTCAGTGACAAGCCAAAGCCAATGAAAGCCTGCCTACATATGATGTCAATACAGGGGTAAAAACAGCCAACTGGAGAAAGATGCTGAGCCAGAGTGCAGCCCCGCCTAAAGCTACACCTACCACACCTTGTTATTTTTATGAACAAAAAAATTACTTTTTATTTAAACCAGTTTGAGTTGTTTCTGACCCCTGCAACATAAAAAGTCTTATCTATCATTCTCAGGAGACAAAATCTCTTTCCCTCAGTCCCAATAAGAAATACAAAGCACTCAGCGTGAAGAGTCAAAACTGATCAAAATAAGAGCCTTTATAAATGTCTCTGGAGATGAGAGGGGAAAAAATTGGATATAAATAGCCATTATGTACAACTTCCAGGAGTAAGGTTCTCCCAATCGCCCCTCCCAGCTTGAACCCCAACGTGTCTGGGGGCAGAGAATGGGCACCACCACGCAAATACGAAAATATCCAGGCTGTCTTCAGGCGCTGATGTCGAAAGAACAGGTCAGGCCTAGAAACGAAATGAGTGGGAAACATTAGGAAGGGCTGTCCCTCCGCCTCGTCTACCCTCGCCACAGAGAGTAGAAATGAGTGGAGAAGCTCTGGCTGAGGCTCCCCACTGGGACGTCTTGAAGCCCTTGGGTCCTCCAAAGAGAAGATGGCAAGTAGCTCAAAAAGACAGCAGGATGTATGCAAAGTAGAATTAAATTAAGTCAGAACTGAAAAGTGGGCTTTAAGGACCTTCCAGAGACTCTACCCTCATTTCACAGACAGAATGAAGGACGGCTAGAGAAAAACCAAGGGCTGCCTCCACCCAGCGTGCCCAGCGTGGGCAGAGGGAGTAGCTACCTCCCGAGCATACATCGACGGAGCAGATACGACGTATATCGTTCGAGAGTCTCCATCTTCGGGGCGATTCCAATCTACGGACGAGCTGTGGGAGGAAAGAGAGATGGAAAAGATCCAGACTTTCTAAATTTTCAGATCTTGTCTTCCCCATCCTTCATGGAGGGGCACCCAAAGCCAGCTAGGGAAACGGAGGAACGACCCAATCAGAAAAGTGCCAGAGTGCGGGGATAACAGGGACCAACTAGGAAGATGCACCAAGGAAATCAGGCCAATGGTGTTGTGGAGACTGACCCAAGACTGCTGCAGTAGCAAGCAGCGCCCGTCCGCGGCCCAGCCCCTCACCTGCGGCCATCCCCGGAGTCCTCCTGCGTCCTCAGGTTGTTGAGTGCATCCGGCAGCGCGCGGACCGATGGCTCTGGCGTCCCCGCCAGCAAGCGCAATCCAGTATCCCGGCCAGGGCCACAGCGACGCAGGCGGACGAGCAGGAGCGCAGCGCCGGCCAAACCCGCGGCCACCAGCAGTCCCAAAGCCGGCGGCAAAAGAAAGCCCTGCGGGTCCTCCTGCCTCGGGCCCGGGGGGGCCGCGGGGAACGCGCCTGCGCCGCCGTCCGCGCCGTCCGGGTGCACCGGGAACTCGCACCGCGCGCCCATGTAGCCGGGCGCGCAGGCGCAGACGAGGCCGGAGAAGTGGGCGTAGCAGCGGCCGCCGTGAGCGCACGGG